CATTCAAACATGATGATTTATGGAAGAAGGAGATATACAATAGATGAATTTAAGCTTAGACTTATGATATGGTAATTTAGGACAGTTGAGAATTTCAGAGGGAGATATGAAAAAAATGATGTAGGAAAATTGGAATCCTTCATTAAGGAGTTTTAATCTGTATTTTTTGAGGCATATCCATGCTACACCAAGATACGATGATATTTTCATAGATGCATTGACAAGATAAGTATCTCCTCATTATAAAAAACTATATAGGATATTTACCAATGATGCGGCTGCCAAATAAAGGGCACAACTTTAGACACCTATAGGTTACAAGAACTATTGGAAAGCCTGGACATTTAACTTAAAGAGATAAGAGAAATCATAAAAAATTGGAACTGGGATCTGATTTAGAATTGAGTTATTCATTAAAACATTATTAGATTTATTTATAAAGTTAATAATCTACTTAAAGCATTCAAATATTAATTTACCTCGTTTATTTTTATATTCCCTACTACTATTTTTTAATTATTACTTCAGCATCGTCTTCTAATTTGTTTGAATTTCTAATATTTGTATATATTACACTGTAAGATTCAAAATTCACTTTATTATCTCTAAAATCTACATTCTTTCATCTATTTAGCAAAGTTTTCCTTTATTAAATTTGATAAATATAATTTTCAGTAAATTATTCCATTATCAAATGTAGTTATTTTTTATTATGTAATGAGGAAATCTAGACTGTTTCTCTATATTGAATAGATTGTGAATTTTGAATTTTATTGGCAATGTTGCAGAAGCAAAATTAAATACAAAATACTAACTTTTGATTTTAATGATTTCTATTTAATAATATAATCCGTTGTATAATTATATTATTAACTAATGTAGGAATTAATTTTTCTTACTATTAAATAATATGATAGTAAATAGTTAAACAAAATCGTTGAGTAACAGAGCTATTCTCACTAAATATCAAATACTCTCTATACTCATTTAAGTATTAATGATTATTATTAATACACTAAAATTAAATTAGAAATATTAAATTATTAGACAGGGAAAATTTACTTTTTAAACTAGGGATGTTATGCTTCTAAATCATAGTTATTTATGTCTAATAGATGGACAAATAAAGCCAAACTATTCAGTAGCTTCAATATTAAAAATATGATTCATAAACCCTTAAAGACATTAATACCTTAATCATTCCATCCATATAATCCTGATATCAATAAAAATTTATATCGATCAAATAAATTTTATTAAAGATTATGGGCTATAATTTTTTCAAAAGTTGTGTGATGTTCATGTATGATTCACTCAGTTATGAATTCAGCTCTTTAGACTTTCCTTTACATGTAATTACTTAATGATATTATCCTACTTAAATCATATAATCCTATCATAAGATTCAGTTTCCTTAAATGAATGTAATAATTATAAAAGATTTAAGCTGCTGACTAAAAAAATCTATTCCATTTTGTTTAGTTTATTGATATTTTTTATTAAATAATTTCTAATTCTTCCCTAAATCAATCTCTCTTTTATTGATAGTTTTTATAATTAAGAAGTTCTTGGCATACCTTCAATTGATTATTTTTATTATTACTAATTATTTATTTATGAATTGAAATTAGTTTACTAAATACCTTTTTGCTTTTGATATCTGGCTCAAAATGTTCAACATGTATTAGAATAAAATGGATATCTAAGATATATATCTTTGATATATTCATGCACGGTTCATCAACTTTTTTGGAATAATCAAATGAAGAATAATGGATCTTTTAATTAAATAAATAGATATTACAAATTTAGATAAATTTATTACATTGCCATTTAGTTTAAGAATAAATTCTAAGTTTTCCAAATTAAATTTGATTTTGAAAGAAATTCTTTAAATACTCCTTAAAATTATAATGTTAGTTGATTAAATGATAATTTATTGTACCGAAATTAAGAAGTAAAATATCATATTTTGGCGAACTATACTGAAGAAAAAATTTTTTACAAGTTTATAAAAAATTTGCATATTTTAAATATTAAAGTAATTAATTTAATAACACTTCTTGAGATTCTAGTTTTAAATTATTTGAAATAAATCATAGAGATACTTAACGGACAGTTTGGAATAAGAGAACATAGAAGATTATTAAATAATTGAATTCTAAAAGAAACTTTTAAATCAAAGAGAGGAAATTATTTCAGTAGCTAGAGTAGATAAAGAAAATCAATGGTAAATAATTTTCAGATAAATCTATATGTCAACTACGCTATAGCGCCACTATATCAACACTATCTGTGATCTACATCAGATGCCATTATAAGTACCATTACTTTATATGGCATTACCTGCCATATATTGTAATGATGTCTATAAAAAACTAAAAGTGTCTTGACCTTACAATAAGAAGAAACTAATGAAATATTTGATTTAATTTAGAAATCAAAATAATCATAAGAAGCTAAAAATCAACTTAAAATAGATTAAATTACGCATGTTTCAAGCATTTCAGCAAAATTAACAACATATATTTCTTTAGTTAGAGTAGTTCTTCCAAAAGGAATGCCTTACTGTCTATTATTTATGATCTTATGATATGGGATAATTGATAATAAAATCTATTTGAAAGCTATTTTAGTCAACTTCTTATATGAATAAACATATAATATGAAACCATGATCGATAATGATGATTATTAATTAGATGTATATAGTAAATCAAGATCTTACCTAGAAGCTATATTTTAAGTAATAAGTATTAAGTGAGAAAAACATCACTGTCAATCATTAATCAATATTAATATATTTGATTAACAGATATACTATTTCAAAAGATGAATTTTATTGCTGTGAATAAAATCACGTCTGTACTTCCATATTTCCCTTTAATAATAAATTTAGATCGATTATGCAAAGCTATCTTTGGTCCTTTCCTCAGAGGGCTTCCCTTACTAAAATTATCTATTTTCCTTCCATCCCTTTAACAATGGTTAAATGACATTATAACATGAATTATTTATATCTGATAACTAAAAAATTTAAATATAATGTTTATAATATTCTTGATAATAATCAATTCTTCTTTTATTTTGGTTTTAATTTACTTTCCATAAAGTAACCTCCTTTAGATTTGAATAATTATCGCAAATCTAAGCCTTAATAATTAAAAAATTCTCCTTTAAAGATTAAAGCATCCTATGCTTAAAATAAAGCTGTTTGGGAAAGATGAAGTATTGTAATAATTGTGTTTACTAGTTAATAGAGAAATAAATACCATCTTCTGGAGGAATATTAAATGGCGCTAAATTTTACTAATTCTGAAATGATTCTTTGGGCTAAACCTCCCATCAACGAATAGATTTATCTCCACTACAAGATGCTAATTTAGTACCATCAGGAGAGAAGCATACTGAATTGACACTATCATGATGGCCATCCAATTTTGATATTTATTATCTTGTTTTAAGATCCCATAAACGGATAGAGTTATCCCAGCTACCAGATGCTAATGTTATAGAATCAGGCGAGAAACTAACTGAATTGATACAATCGTAATGGCCCTCCAATTTGGTTATTTATTATCCTGTTTTAGAATCCCATAAACGGATGGAGTTATCCCAACTACCAGATGCTAATAGAGTACCATTAGGTGAGAAGCATACTGATGAAACATAACTAGTATGACCATCCAATTTGAATTTTAATTCTCCTGTCTTAATATCCCAGAAACAGATTGAGTAATCTCTACTTCCAGATGCTATTGTATTACCATCAGAGGAGAAGCATATCGAACAGATCTAATCATTATGGCCTTCAAATTTATTTTTTTATTAACCTGATTTAGCATCCCATAAACAGGTAGACTTATCTGCACTACCAGATGCTAATGTAGTACCATTTGGAGAAAAGCATACTGATTATATATAATTAGAATGGCCATCAAATTTATTTAGCTCATGGATTTTCAAGTTCTTCCATTTACAATTAAATAATTAAGCTCCATTTAAATTCAGTCCGCTTATATCCACATTATTGAATTCTGATCCACTCAAATTACATCTAACAAAATTACCTCCAATTAAAGAAGTATTCTATATCTTATATTTTCGAAGCATGAGTACTTTAGATCAGACTTCATATCAACTAATAAATTTATTGAGTTAGATCCGCATACTATGAATTAGTTATCAATAGCGGTAAAATGAACTAAAAATCTTAAAAATAAAATTATCTTTTTGTTTTTTCCATTTGCTTTTATTATAGCTTTTTTAATTTCTAAGTATTTTTCTGATGAAAAATTATTTTTATTAAATCGTGGTCTTTAATTTATGTAAGAATTTTAGTAATTATCTTGATATTATTTTTTACAACATCTAGCTTTTTTTCCATGTTCTCAGATGATAAAATCTCTATTTTAAACAAATTTTAAACAAATTTAGTTGATACTCACCTATCGAAAGATATCGTAGACAATCTGATATGTTTTCTTTTTTCAACATATCAATCACATCTTTAAATATTTATTCATCAATATCTTCAACGTAAGCAAAAACCTCAGACAAATCTTCATTCAAGTATTTAGTTTAATTCATGATTTATGTAAAAAATTATTTAATTTTTATTACATTAATATTAAGTTTTATGTTTATAAAAAATCAAAAATAAAAAATAATAGAAATAGGTTTTTATTGTGGTTAAATTGTCTATTGATTAATTATTTTTTTGCTTGTATTTTATTTTTAATAACATATGACTGGAATTTTCAGATTTATTTAAGGTTATGGTTAGTGCTATATAATTTTGTAGAATACTCAGGTTAAACTAATATTTTTAGAGAAAACAGGCTAAACTTATTAATGTAATTTAAGAATTCATTAAAATTCTATTTGAAATTCTGTTGGTTTTTATAATTTTGGTATATTTGAATACAAAATAAATAGAATTGTTTTAGATTATTTTAAGATAGTAACTCCAATTATAATAGATTATCTAGTGAAAAATAAATTAATTAGTAAATGGAACATAATGTTTATATTTTGAATAAATAAACAGAATTGGAAACAATTAAATTATTTCTAGTTTTGTAGATTTAATATTTGAGAGCTTTTATAATGGAGAACCTACTAATGAATTAAATGATTATTTTTTAATTTTCTACAAATTCTATGTCTTAATCCAAGGGTATAGTTGTTTCAAAATTGAAGTAACATACTCTAGATTTAGTCTACTATTTTTAAAACTTATTGTTCCTAATACAAAAATATTCAAATTCTATTTACAATGGGCGTTATTCATAATTTCATCTATTAAAAGATGTATAGGAAAATAAAGGATTTAATAAATGCCTGAGGATATTATATATCCTGAATTTCAATAATATAAAATTTGATTATTAATTGCCAAAATACTATGATGGAAATAAAATGAGCACCCAAAGATTTATTATTTTCTATAAGCAATTTGAAAATAATGAGTTATAGGTATTAGGTATGTCCTATGTGTAGATAAGAATTAATTTAAGAAATATTAGAAAATTTTTGTATAAAAAAATTGAAAAAAATTTAACAAATAAAATAAGGTTACTTTAAAAATAGAAAATTATATGTTTTTTAGAGTAATGAAAAATAAAATTAACAATTTATTTATTTCCCTATTCTATTTGATTTTGCTTATTTTAGATTTAAAATTTTTATTTTATTTAACTTTTTTTGCACTTTAAATTGCCACTTTTGCAATATTCTTGAATTAAAAATGAAAAAGACGCCTTTTACCTTACATTTAGCTTTAGAATATTGCAACTNATTTTTATTAAATCGTGGTCTTTAATTTATGTAAGAATTTTAGTAATTATCTTGATATTATTTTTTACAACATCTAGCTTTTTTTCCATGTTCTCAGATGATAAAATCTCTATTTTAAACAAATTTTAAACAAATTTAGTTGATACTCACCTATCGAAAGATATCGTAGACAATCTGATATGTTTTCTTTTTTCAACATATCAATCACATCTTTAAATATTTATTCATCAATATCTTCAACGTAAGCAAAAACCTCAGACAAATCTTCATTCAAGTATTTAGTTTAATTCATGATTTATGTAAAAAATTATTTAATTTTTATTACATTAATATTAAGTTTTATGTTTATAAAAAATCAAAAATAAAAAATAATAGAAATAGGTTTTTATTGTGGTTAAATTGTCTATTGATTAATTATTTTTTTGCTTGTATTTTATTTTTAATAACATATGACTGGAATTTTCAGATTTATTTAAGGTTATGGTTAGTGCTATATAATTTTGTAGAATACTCAGGTTAAACTAATATTTTTAGAGAAAACAGGCTAAACTTATTAATGTAATTTAAGAATTCATTAAAATTCTATTTGAAATTCTGTTGGTTTTTATAATTTTGGTATATTTGAATACAAAATAAATAGAATTGTTTTAGATTATTTTAAGATAGTAACTCCAATTATAATAGATTATCTAGTGAAAAATAAATTAATTAGTAAATGGAACATAATGTTTATATTTTGAATAAATAAACAGAATTGGAAACAATTAAATTATTTCTAGTTTTGTAGATTTAATATTTGAGAGCTTTTATAATGGAGAACCTACTAATGAATTAAATGATTATTTTTTAATTTTCTACAAATTCTATGTCTTAATCCAAGGGTATAGTTGTTTCAAAATTGAAGTAACATACTCTAGATTTAGTCTACTATTTTTAAAACTTATTGTTCCTAATACAAAAATATTCAAATTCTATTTACAATGGGCGTTATTCATAATTTCATCTATTAAAAGATGTATAGGAAAATAAAGGATTTAATAAATGCCTGAGGATATTATATATCCTGAATTTCAATAATATAAAATTTGATTATTAATTGCCAAAATACTATGATGGAAATAAAATGAGCACCCAAAGATTTATTATTTTCTATAAGCAATTTGAAAATAATGAGTTATAGGTATTAGGTATGTCCTATGTGTAGATAAGAATTAATTTAAGAAATATTAGAAAATTTTTGTATAAAAAAATTGAAAAAAATTTAACAAATAAAATAAGGTTACTTTAAAAATAGAAAATTATATGTTTTTTAGAGTAATGAAAAATAAAATTAACAATTTATTTATTTCCCTATTCTATTTGATTTTGCTTATTTTAGATTTAAAATTTTTATTTTATTTAACTTTTTTTGCACTTTAAATTGCCACTTTTGCAATATTCTTGAATTAAAAATGAAAAAGACGCCTTTTACCTTACATTTAGCTTTAGAATATTGCAACTCTTCATCATCACAATAATACAATAACAGATTAAAATATTATCATTTTTCGGTGTAATCAGACAGACCCGGACCACAAAAAAATTTGTTAGGACTAAAAATTCATGTTTACACTTTAGAATCATATTTCTAGAGCTTGTAATAAATTAGAGAAATTAAAAATTTAGAAATTAGTTCAGAAAGCAGCATTATAGAATCAAGTGAAGAAGATAATAAAAATAAAGATTAACAAAATATATAATAAATGTAAAGATTATTAAGACAAAAAAGTGAAGGTGTAATTTAAGAAATGCAAGTTAATGATGAGTAAAAAGATGTTCAATAATAAAATTTAAATAACACATTAGAAAAAAATTTAACTGATTTCATGTAATTTAATCAAGATTACAAAAATTTAAGTGAAGATACAAAATTTAGACTAAATTGTTCATTCACAAAATTATTTTAAAAAAATGTTCAATGGATTTTTTGGAGATATTACGAATGGTTAAAGTAAAAATTCTTTTGTTATCAATTAATTGTAAATAATGAAAAAGGAACACTACTGTAAAACTCTAAATAAATTTATCACTCAATTCCACCTATATAAGGAACAGAGACATATTTTAACGAAGAGTACAATAAATTAAAAACTTACTGTTTTAACGAGGGTTTACCCTTATTTTTCTAAACAATAACAATGAATGAGTTTGATGAAAAAACTTTTAAAAATATGAGAGGTTTGAATTATTTAGATTTAGAGGACTTTCAAATAGTGTAAAGATTGAACAAAGTTAATATTCGTTACGAAGAGCTAATGTAAAACGCAAACAATTTTGTAGATTATTATTTATTCTTAATGAAACATTACAAAAAGGTAATAAAAAATAAATTTAACAATTAATTGAATCCACATAAAGATTTTAATCATTATAAATTTGGGTTATATGGGGATTATAAGGCAATGGTTACAAGAATTGAATTTTAAAATAGGGGATCATTGCACTTTCACTAATTTATTTTTATCAATTAAAATGAAAATAATTTATATAATGAATGTTATTTATAATATATACTTGGTGAATTTTCATTATATAATAGCAATTTTCAAAAAGATGTTAAATTTTTACACAAGTATGATTTATTTCATCATTGTTCTTTGGAAAAATGCATCACAAAAGACACACAAACATGCCGATTCGGATTTCCCTAAAATATTACTAACGGATAATATAATACAATAAAGGGAATATAGAATAATTAAAGAAGATTGAAATAAGAAGATTAAAATGTTATTACATTTTATAGGGACACAGTAAAATTTTTCAATTCAAATTGTTAAATAAATATGTGTAATGATGAAAATATTTTGGGTTATTTAACAAAGTATATTAATAAAACACAATAAAAAAATAAAAACTTAACTGGAAAAGAGAGTGCTTCAAGAGAAAATATGTTTGATTACCCTGAAAACAATACAATAATGGACCAAGTAAAAAAATTTTTAGATGAAAAACAGACTTCACTCTAAGAAGCCTATTTTGCCTTTAAATAAACATAAATAATTGAATCTTCTTTTAATGTCATAAAAATAAAATAATAACCTATGACAACTTAAATCAGTAGCAAGGTTGATTATTTTGATTAAATAACAGTTAAAAATGTTGATGAAATGTTTGAAATTAACTAAATTTCGAATAGTTGGTATCGATATATCAATAGACCAGAAGAATTAGAATTACTTAATTTTTATGAGTATTGTGTAACAACAATTTTTTATGGAAAAAAATAAAAATACATAATGAAAATGAAACAGGAATTAATGTCTAACATTTTGAATGGTGCAATTAGAAATTTTTTGGTTGATTAAAATTCTAATATAATTAAAATAAAAGAAAACTCATAAAATAAAAAAATTATTATTTAAACATCTTATTTGCACCCTTCAGAAGACTATAAAGGGATAAATAATGTGTATTTTTTATAAATGTTACAATTATTTTGGCCTCATAGAAAAAATTCATGGATTCAAAATACATTTGATAATTACGATGGATATATAAAAGCATACCACAATTTAATAAATAGTTTTGATTATCCTAGAGAAGATAATATTTAAAATTATTACAGAATAAAATACTGCAAATATTAAGAATATCCTTTAAAACATTATGTATATTAGATTTAATTAATTAAATTGAATAATAAATGGATATAGAGTTAGAATATAAACGCATTGATGATATAAAAACAATTATTCCATACCTTTATCCATAAAAAGTGATGAATGAAATATACAAATTTTAAATAAATGAAGTTATAGATAATATTAAAAAAGATATTTAGTTATTTTGGGATCAAATGTCTTAAACTTCCAAAATAATAATTATAAATTTAGGTTTAATATGCAAAGAATATGGTTCTTCTGGGCTTTATGATGTATGTCCATAAAAAGAAAGCATTTAAAAATACTTTATTAATAAAAATGAACAATTTAATGATAATATGAATAAAAATTATCTTATAGATTAAAACTAGATTTTATCATAATTAAAAGATGATTTATTGAGTTAAGATCCTTGCTTATATAGAAATGCTGTAACAATTGTAGAATATGAAGAAGGGAAAATTCGAAAGCAGGTAAAATGGGAAAGTATAAGTTAATAAATGTGTGTATTGTTAATGCTATAAAACATATTACTTAATTTTTAAACTTCTTAACAGGAAAAAAAAATTTATGAAGGTGCTTTTATTCACGGTCCAGGAGGAGTAGGAAAAACATTCTTAATAACATTTTTGATTCAACTTGCATAAGAATCTGGTTTAAATTACAATATTTTATGTCCAACCCAATAAGCTGTATAAAACTTAAACTTTATTTGTCGATAATAAAATATTCATAATATAAATGCTTAAACAATTCATAGTTATTTTCAATTAAAACATGATTAAAAAATATCTCATTTATGGCTTTAATTTGAACATTATATAAAATTTTAGGGAATTAAAAATTTTAATTACACTAATCAAATTTATTAATAAATCATAAGGTTTTAGTTTTAAAATAGAACCATTATCGAAAAAAAACTAAGAGATGTTGATTTGCTGTTAATTGAAGAAGTTTCAATGATAGATCCTATATTTTTATCATTATTAGATATTTATTCATAAATATCAAGGAGATCAGCAAATTAATTCGGGGGAATTTAAATATTTTTATTTGGAGACTCATTTTAATTAACTATTTTATTTACATGATTGAATTAACTGAGCCAATTCGTTAATAGAATGATTTGGAATATTACAATAACATTTTGTAACCATTGAGGAAAGGGGTCTTTCATTTAGATTAAAGTAACTTTCAAAAATAGATTGATATATTAAAAAAAAGAGTCATTTAACTAAATTCGATTGGACCAACACCTAAAATAAAATAAGAATTAGATTAAAAATTTAAAAACAAAGAATAAATAATTTACTTATTTTTTAAAAACGAGAACGTAGAATTCGAAAATTACAAAAGGGCTAAAAAAATATTAGATGAATTTCAACTGGATAATTACTATTTACTGTTACCAATAGGCATAAGAAATTTTGTTGCTAAATTATTAGGAAGAAAAACTCACGCATTTGCTGTTAAAAATGAATAATTTAATAAAACCACAGCTTAAGTGGAAATTACTTTATTTAAAAATGCTGAAGTTGTGATAAGAAGAAACATTGATAAAACGAGATAAATAATAAATGGATAATTTGCAAAAATTGTTGAAATGAATTTTGATATTGATTATCAGTCTATTAAAACAATGAGGTAATTTATCGTTAACAAAAATGATTACATAAAAGAAAATAATTATTATGATATCTATGGAAGTGTAAAGGAATAAAAAAAATATACATTTTCCAAACAAATATTTGAAGAAATTTGTTAAATTGGCAGTCAAAGATTAATTAACAACATTAATTTTTTGATGGAAAAGGATGTATCATAAGAAGAAAAAATAAGTTTATATGAAAACAGGATAATGCCAAGATTATCATAAATTAAATTAAATATTGAACAAATAGGTATCCAAGATCTCAATTTATACCAAAAAAAATTTATATAAAAAATTAACATAAATAAATCAGAATTGGTAAGTGAGATTTAAATCGTTATTGAGTAAGTGGAATTAACGTTATAATAATTGACATTTTGTTCAGGTAAACCAATAAAATAAAGATAAGAAAGTTTTTATAAATTCTTAAAAAATAATAATCTGATTAAATTATTCTATATTGATATAGTTACTTCTAGATTTGGATTAAACTATTTAAAAGATACTTTGTTCAACCTTAGAAAGTTAATAGAATACATGCCAGATTAACTTATAGTATACATTCATTAAATTCCTATAAATTTAGGTTATGCAAGAACAATTCACACTTCAGCTCAACTATATAAAATGTTGTAATAGATTTAGACATGACAGAATAATAACAACATGGCTTATTATACACAGCTATGAGTAGAGCTAGAAATATCTAAAATTTATTTTTTTCTGGAAAATTTGAAAGTGATAAATTTATGATAAAAGTAAATGAAAACATAGATGATTTTTTTTAAAAACATTTTGTTGTATGTGAAAAATTTTTCTAAGACCAATACTTGAAAAAGTTGTTAAACGATGAGTTTGATGAAGTGTGGAAAAATCTACTAACTTAAGCTTAAGTTATAAGGTAAAAAGCTATGAACTATAAAAAATGAATAAGAAAAATTTTTAATTTTATCAGTTTTTTTACTAAAATATGTGTATCAAAAAATTTTCTATTGTTCATATTTAATTCTACAAATAAATTAAACAATTTCTAATTGTTTGAATTATTTTAGTATTCATAAAATGATTTTACTAATTAATTTAAATAGGTTTGTCAATGTGAATTTTTTATAATTTCATGCATTTTCTAGTTATTTTTTATTTTTTAGTTTGCCATTTTCATTGAATTTTCTTTCATATCGATTTGTATATTTGTAGATTCAAATAATAAAGATTGAATTTTTATAGTGTACATAATATTTGATTTATAGAAAGTGTTAACTTCTCATAAAAAAGGCTGAAGACAACATATCACAAGATACCCAATAAAAATTACAATATAATTTTTCAAAATTAAATCGAATACATATTTAAATTAAGTACAGCTTTAAATTTTATGTAGGTGAAAACTAGACAAAAATTTAAGAAGTTTAATTATCTTATTTTGAAAATGAGTTTATTTTAAATTTTAGAGAATAATTTAAGTTTAAATAATTATTTTGAAAAATTTTACATTTGATANATATTGCAACTCTTCATCATCACAATAATACAATAACAGATTAAAATATTATCATTTTTCGGTGTAATCAGACAGACCCGGACCACAAAAAAATTTGTTAGGACTAAAAATTCATGTTTACACTTTAGAATCATATTTCTAGAGCTTGTACCTTATTTCTGAATCCAATATTAATTTGATTATGGATTCTCAAATATCTTTTATTTTGTATTTTATCAGATATGCCATAAATTTTTCCGATTAAATACATTATCATAATCATTCTACCCAACAGAGTTGTTAATTATGTAAAATCTAAATGGAGTTGAATTTAGCAATGAAATTATTTTGAGATAATTAAGCAATGACGGATAGTATTTAATCACTTGGGATAGAGGTTCATACGAAATATAAATAAGAAAGTGTAAAGAAAAATGAAATAGAATGAATTATTTAAAATATTTTAGTATATTATTTATTTTAATATTGTTTGAAGGAAGTAAAGTTTGGCTTTAATTTTTTTTGTAAAATTAACACATAATGAAAGTAACTTGAATGTAATAAAAATAAATTGAGTTTTAAAGTGGAAATGCTAAAATTTTAAGAAAATTATCAAATATTTAATTTGCTTTATCATGAACTATTGATACAAAATTTTCGATAAATTTGGAATTGGTTTTAAGGACTATTATAATAAATTTTCTATTGGAGAAGGGAAAGTGTTATTATATTAATTTAATAGAACATAAAATATATTGTAGTAGTAATATTAATAAGATAAAAATGATAAATGGATAGCATGTCAATTTTTCAAAAAAGAAGTATGTCAAATAGAAAAAGTGATTCCACGAATTAACCATTCGTATGCATTTATTTTCTAATTTGACTCTCACTATTGGTTAATCCAAAGATTTGTACTGTTGCATACATGAAACTAGTAGATACATAGTAAAGATATTAAGTTATGTTTTAAATGAAAATATATTTTAATGGATAAATCTCTTGAAAATGAAGATATATTTGACATGCATGAAGCATCCAAAGTCTTTATTATATTCCTTTTAGTGTTAGTTTATATAAAATTTTAAATTAAAACTGAGCAAATCATTTAATTAGTTTGTTTCAAGTTCTCAATTTTTATCTAAAAACTTTTTATTTATCTCCAGCTTGCCTTTGCATCTTTGATCCTATTTTACTATTTTAAACTTTTAGTAGTACAGATCTTGTCATTCTATAATGTTAATATTAAATTTTTTTCAAAGAGTATAAATGCCCTTTTTAAATAAATATAATATTTTTAAAATTGATGAATGCTCAATCTTCTGATCAATCACTCTTTGAAAGAATAATTCAAATCTATAAGTAAAATCAAATTCGAATTATATCTCCAACTCATCCTAATCTAAATAGAAAATTAAAATATTCAATGAATATTAGAATTTTAATTAAATTGTGTTAATAATAATGAGGAATTAATATAAATAAAGGAGAAGCTATAGAATACTAGTCGAGATTGGTCTAATATGTTGAATATGAAAGTTAAAGATAAATAAATAAAAACTTTATTATGAATAATAAGATAGTGTAATTGATGAATGATAAGAAATTGTATGCAAATAAATTGAGGGTGATGTAAAATTAAACACATCAGAATGATTGTTGAACTATATTAATTTCCAAATAAATTTTATAAATAAAATTTTAAGAGGGATGATAAAAAGGTTTAGACGATGCAGAGAACTCTGAAAATAAGTTTGGATTTGGATATTTTTATATCCATTTTATTAAATGAAAACATTAATTCATTATTTGTTAATAGGTGGTTATCATTAATAATAAATGGTCCTATTATAATTTACTTCTCTGATGAACTTAATATTTTTTTGATTACTATTGTATATCTGACCTTTGAAGGGATCTGAAAAAGAGTAAAATTTTTCATTATGCTTAATTTATTTTATCTGGAATATCCTATAATAAATTTTCATTAAATTTCTTTATAAAGTTTTGATTGTCTAAGGCATTGATTAACTACTGTCTTGAACATTTTCATTGTATTCACTTTATCAATAATCTCCTTAATATATTTTTAACTTTAGTAGGCTTTTCCTTTCAACACAAAGAGTTCATAGATATAAGGATGAATAAACTTTAAAATTATAAATATATGATTGTGTGCTTAGATAAAGCTACTAAACTAAATCTTAATTACGCAGTAGTTTAGATAAAGACTCTTTACATTTGTTATTGTATGAGGTTATTTACTATACATTCTTACTTTATGCATATACATTAACTGAAATGAAGAAGTATATAATACCAGAATTAATATAGGCAATTGATTATTATATTAAGAAATATATTTGAAAATTATTAAATTTCATTAATATAATATTTATCTTAATTTGCTTAAATGCTTTATTTTGAGAATGTAATTTTTAGACTATTTTCTAATTATAATAATAAGGAATCCATAATTTTTATTTTATCTATTAAAACATATTTTCTTTTCTAGATTAAGTCGAAATTAAGCAATTTAATATTACACTTTATAGATCAACTTTAACATTATCATATCAATAAATTGGTTATAAACCCTTCTTTAAATTTAATTAGTAAATATAGTAAATTAGTTGGTAACATAATTGAATAAAGTTCAAATTTCAGTTGGTGGTAGGAATATGGAACGATGTGTGACGAAGACATTCGTGAAATTAAGAATGTATATAGGAAAAATGGTGAGGTTAATCCTGATACAATCAGAAGGATGACCTATTATATATGATAAAGAAGCATTCTTTGCCTCATCAATATAGAAATATTATAGAATAGCTCAAAATAAGTCACAGGTAATATTAAGAATTTAATGCTAAGAAACAAAATCTATAATTACTTCTAAAGGTCATACTTTATAGTAAGCTTTCGAAACGTTCTTGAAAATATTCAATTTTTATCCAATTTTGCGCATTCATGCAGTTATCACTATATTTAATTTATTCATTTATATTATAATACATAATGTCAATTAAATAATGGATCAATAAAATTTAGAATAGTAAGAATAACATAAATATTTATAATAAACAAATTCCTTTTGATTAAAATTGTTCTATCTATTGTATCAATAATATATGTAGGTATATCAGATTTATTTTCTGTTGATAAAAAATCTTTTAATTCTTTTAAGATTATTGCCTTTCAGAATGAATATAATCACAAAGTCAATTTGATTATTTCTAAGATTTGGGGCTGTTTTACTAACAGCCAATAAAAATATGGTCATAGTCTTATAGGCAGAATACAGCTATATAAAATAGAAACATTTTTCTAAAATGCCTATTTGAAATGAACTTATTTGTAGATATTATATTAAATTTTATAATGTATAACAATAATAGAGTTGCGCATTTTAAAATAGATATCCAATCAAAAACGATATAACTCATTCTCTTTAATTAGTATAATTCAAACGAGAGATTTTATATTAGTTGTCAAATTATTAGATGATTTTTGTATTGATAACAATATATTTTCATTTGATGGATGCTATTTGAATAATTTTAAGTTAAAGAAATTGTATAACAGGAATATTTTTGGATTTTTTAGATGATTAGAAGTATTAAAAAATAACTTGTAATTAATATTGTAGTGATCATAAATGAACAAAAATTAGATGGGCATATTCGTATGTTTTAATCTACAAAAACTGAGATAGAGGTAGATCTCGAATATACCTGAGAAATATCTTATAAAACTATTTTCACTGTATAACTTGCGTCTTCTTGCTGATGAAGAATTCTTTAGGCTCTTGGTATAAAATATCATCCTTTTATACTAATCATTCTTATAAATAGTTATTTGTTGCTTTACTATACATCAAACATGCAACATTATCATTATAATATAAATTATAATTATATTAATTTTTAGAAGTTCAGAAATAACAAAAATCTATTAAAATATATATTCTTTAGAATTCTAAAAGAAAAAAAGGCTTTGTTTTAATTAAAAAAATTTCCATTTTTGAATGAATGTATTGAATTTCATTCATTATAGGAAAAAAAATCTGATTAATTTGTTTTTTTCAAATATATAAAATAAATGGATTTAATAAAAACATTCACAAAATTATGTTGTGACAGATTCTTTGTGCATTTTAATCTGAAATCAACTGGTGTTTAAAGAGTAAAACAAAAACATTTAAACTTCAGAACTATATTTTTTATGTTCATTTCAATATATCATCATAAGTTAATTTAACCTAAAATTTAATTTTCCAATGTACATTATTTAATAACATTATTTTTAATCTTCTTTAGCACTTAGGTTTAGAAATATGACTTATATTTATGAATAGAGCTTCTAATTAAGGAAAACATAATCAATACCAATTATAAATTAACTCAAAATCATCATTTTATTAAATTTAATGATCCAAGTTTAACCAGAGACTTTGCTAATAGCTGAGAATTTTATTGGACCTATTACTTCAAATGAAGGTAAAATTTTTTTAATAGATTTGATAGGGTGGGTTATCTATTATTGTTATTCATCTTATCTTAATAGATGTGGATCTTGTTTCGGTGGGTATGGTAGTTTTTATATTTATACTTAAATACTCAAAACATTTGAACTTCCTCCACATTATTAGATTATAATAAGTTTTACATTTTTGAGGTATTTTTTAATTTATATTTTAGAATCGATTATTGGAATAATATTTGTAATTTTATTGTTTATGTTGATAATGTTTAAGTATCTAACAAACAATATTCAAATGCGGATAGCTCAACTAATATTTGTGGGAGTTCCTCCTGGTCTGATTCTGAAAATCAGATAGAAATACAAGCAGATCATTATAGTAGTACATCAACAATACTTATGGCAGTGGGAGAAATTTATAATTGTGATTACTGGGCAATCTCAAATTTCAAGTTATTTATTAAAAAATGTCCAAATGGATGCATTTCCTGTAATGCATTTGAGTGTTTTAATCAAGTATTGGTAATAGAACTATTTTCTAAACGATGGTTTGATATCATAAATAATTGGGAGGGATGGTNCATCAAACATGCAACATTATCATTATAATATAAATTATAATTATATTAATTTTTAGAAGTTCAGAAATAACAAAAATCTATTAAAATATATATTCTTTAGAATTCTAAAAGAAAAAAAGGCTTTGTTTTAATTAAAAAAATTTCCATTTTTGAATGAATGTATTGAATTTCATTCATTATAGGAAAAAAAATCTGATTAATTTGTTTTTTTCAAATATATAAAATAAATGGATTTAATAAAAACATTCACAAAATTATGTTGTGACAGATTCTTTGTGCATTTTAATCTGAAATCAACTGGTGTTTAAAGAGTAAAACAAAAACATTTAAACTTCAGAACTATATTTTTTATGTTCATTTCAATATATCATCATAAGTTAATTTAACCTAAAATTTAATTTTCCAATGTACATTATTTAATAACATTATTTTTAATCTTCTTTAGCACTTAGGTTTAGAAATATGACTTATATTTATGAATAGAGCTTCTAATTAAGGAAAACATAATCAATACCAATTATAAATTAACTCAAAATCATCATTTTATTAAATTTAATGATCCAAGTTTAACCAGAGACTTTGCTAATAGCTGAGAATTTTATTGGACCTATTACTTCAAATGAAGGTAAAATTTTTTTAATAGATTTGATAGGGTGGGTTATCTATTATTGTTATTCATCTTATCTTAATAGATGTGGATCTTGTTTCGGTGGGTATGGTAGTTTTTATATTTATACTTAAATACTCAAAACATTTGAACTTCCTCCACATTATTAGATTATAATAAGTTTTACATTTTTGAGGTATTTTTTAATTTATATTTTAGAATCGATTATTGGAATAATATTTGTAATTTTATTGTTTATGTTGATAATGTTTAAGTATCTAACAAACAATATTCAAATGCGGATAGCTCAACTAATATTTGTGGGAGTTCCTCCTGGTCTGATTCTGAAAATCAGATAGAAATACAAGCAGATCATTATAGTAGTACATCAACAATACTTATGGCAGTGGGAGAAATTTATAATTGTGATTACTGGGCAATCTCAAATTTCAAGTTATTTATTAAAAAATGTCCAAATGGATGCATTTCCTGTAATGCATTTGAGTGTTTTAATCAAGTATTGGTAATAGAACTATTTTCTAAACGATGGTTTGATATCATAAATAATTGGGAGGGATGGTATTCTGATGGTGATGTTTTAGTAAAAAGTGTTTTTTAATGCGGAGGTAAAAGTAACTTAAAATTAGATTTTAATGGACTAATTTCATAATCATTCCAAAATCGCCTTAAAAAGTCGTTTAATTTGATTGGTCATAAAGCTATCAGTTTGAATCTAAAAGTGGTGATATTGAATTCTGTTTCTCCTAAAGTTTAAATATCTATTGATCAAAGATTAGTATCTTCATTTTAATTGAGTAGGTAAGTATTCACATATTGGGAGTTTTGTAATTTCATTATAGTTAATTAGATAAATATCGCTCATTTTTATCATAATAATGAAATAATTACAATATAAATAACAGTCGATTTTTCAAATAGATATAGTGCCAGCTATTCTTAATAATTTGGAATCAGAGATTTTCAATTATATATAATACCTTATTTGATTACTTGTTAAGATTAAAACATTTAGCCATTTGATGGATGCTTTGCTTTACAATATGATTGTGTTGAAGGATGCAGCAATTGTATTAACGGTATATGTGTTGAATGTTCAAATGGATGGGTATATGTTCAAGAAATGGAACATTGTGAACCTATTTGCGGAGACTCAAAAATAATTTATTTAGAAGAATGTGATGATGGTAATACGATTCCATTTGATGGTTGTCATCTTTGTAAATTTTCATGTCCTTAAAATTGCCTCTTTTGTTAATTTGGAAGATGTTTAGAATATTATTAAACAGAAACATTGATTGAAATCAACAACATTTTTGATTTTTATGGATTAAATTAATATAAGAACGCTTTTCAGGAAATAAATTTCAAGAATTATTTTATAAATTTTCTTGATTTTGGTTATTAAAGATTTTTTTTGTTAATTATTATTTAATTGAATCCAATTAATTATGATAATTTATTAAATTCATTAAATTATAGTAAACTCACAATTTTCTATAAAAAATACGACTAGAATGAGTATGATGTGTTAGAATAGAAATAATTTCATAAACATTTAAGAATTTAAAATTGCTAAGAGTAACTTCTTAATAAGTGTAAAAATTGTGAATTATTTTTTAAATTAAGTTTTAATGAATAAAAATGTATACCATTATGTGGTGATGGAATTACAATACTTAATGAAATATGCGATGATAAAAACAATATTCAATTTGATGGATGTTATAAATGTGAGAAGAGTTGCTAATTGGAATGTTTAAGCTGCATAGAATCAAAATGTTATACTTGTCAAAATGGTTGGGCATTATTAGATGATAGATGTTATTAAAAATGTGGAGATGGTTAATTAGCGATTACTTCATCAGAATAATGTGATGATGGTAACTTTGAACCTAATGATGGGTGTTATAATTGTTAATTTGAATGTGATCAATTCTGTTTTTCATGTGCATCAAATGATATTTGTTTTAGATGTCTAGATTATTTTGAAGTATTAAATGGCAAATGTAAACCTATATGTGGAGATCTTTATGTTGTTCCAGGATTAGAGGAGTGCGAAGATGATAATTAAAAACCATATGATGGATGTTACAATTGTTAGTTTTCCTGTGATGAAAATTGTGAAAAGGATAAATGTTAGGAAAGAGGTAGATGTATTTAATGTTAAAGTGGTTTTTACATAATTAATGAAGGATTAAATTGTGAAGTTTTTAAAAATTAATAAAATGGGAATTATGAAGAAGAGGATTAGTAGAACATTATAATAACGAAATGTGGAGATTAGATAAGATAATCAGAAGAATAGTGTGATGATGGAAATCTAAACAATTTTGATGGATGCTCAGAGAAGTGTTTGATTGAAGACGGTTGGAAATGTGATGAAAAAATATCTAACATTTGTTATCAATATCCTGTTATTCAACTATCATATCTTAATGTAACATAGGATAAATAATATGTATAATTATCTTTCAGTCAATAAGTAAGATGGAATGGTACAAAAAATAATTTTTCTGATGCTTTTAATTTAACGATTTAAGGATTATAAGATAATGAATTTAATGTAATTATAAATACTGTAGTTGCAATTGAAAAAGACCACCCCAACTATCCTATTTATGAATTCGAAATCAAACTTCTTCATTCTGTAGATATACAACCTCTTTTGGAAATTTTTATTAATGATCTTATAGTTGATGATTATGACTATCCTTTGAATAATTTTAAGTAATAGGTCTAACTTAAAATACTAAATACTTTAAGTGATTCTTTATTATCTGTTGCAAATAGCTTTTAAGCTATGGGCAATTATATAATGATTGGATTGGGATGCAGTAGTGGTTTGATGTTTTTGATGGGCGATTTATCATCTAGTTTTGAGATTTTTGATGCTCTTCAATTTTAATCTTATTTAAGGTTTCTAAATGTTGAATTCCCTGAGAACCTTTAAATGTATTTTTAATCCTCTGATGTTATAACAATTCAACCTGTTTTAATGAATTTCAAGATTATTGATGTTTTTGAAAATCTAATTGGGTAAAATTATTTGGCTAGTGTTGGAAAGCTTTCTCTTTATTAACTTAATGCAGATTTACTCTCTAATATTTATGGATAAATTACTTAATTTGCCTTTTTTATATTCCTCTATTTTGTAATCCTTTTTTATCAAAAGTTCTTTTATAGTAAATGTTTTAAATCTAAATATATTTACTATACTAGATTAAGTAACTCCAAAATTATTTTATATCTAGTTATCAAATTCTATTACTTAAATAAGAAATTTCTTAAACTAAGTGCTCTTTACACTTTAAATGGATTCAAATAATTATTTTATGCAAATAGTTGGGATTTAATTTTTAAAGTGATCATGTATTTGGTATCAAACAATTAAATAGGACTAAGATATTAGGTGTCTAATTGTGTTAGCATAGGCTATTTAATACTCCTTTTTTATATATTTTGTTCACATTTTAAAAGATAAAATTAAAAAATTGTGCTGTTAAACTTAAGAATGGAATAACATGAAGGAGTAATTTTAATGAAAAAATTTACATTTTTAATAGTTTTGATTGGAATGCAATAAGAATAAATTTATCAATGCACCGCATTAACTTTCATCTTGTTTAGCTATATATTTTTTATAATCATAGTAAAATTTACATCTTCAAATCTTGATCTATTTGTAGTAATTTGGATGGAAGCTCCAGTAATGTTATTTACATTGATCAGTTTGATTTATTGCACTGAATTTAAATAATTATTAAATCAGAATCAGAAAATTTTAGTTGCATTTATTTAGATTGGTCTCTTAGTGTTAGCTTTATTTGGTCCTATCATAAAAGCTGGAGTTTTATTTTATGAGAAAATTAAAAATTATATTAAGGAAAAGTAAAAGCTTAAGCCTCCAATCGTATTGAATGTTAACAATATTTTTACAATTGTGTAGAAGTGAAAAAATAATATTAATAGATTATTTATTTTAAAATTTATTAAATCTTAACTTCTAGCTGAGCAATTTGACTCTTTCAAATCCATACTACATAATCTAATAGAACATACCCACTAAAAAACTTCTTTTCTTTTATTTTGGCAACCTAAAAGTCTTCATATAAAAAAAAATAACGACACTTCAATATTTTTTTAATTATGATCAGTTATAATAAGGTTTTACAATTATTTTACCTTTTCTATTTGGATTTCTTTTTCTGTTCATGATAACAAATTATCATCTGATGTAGTTTCAATCACAGAAAAGTAAATAATAGAGAAAAAGAGGGTTTGATGTAGGGGTGGGTGCGACAAAGAAATGCTTAGAATGGTAATGTTGAATTAGAATAGGGCATTTTCACATGAAATAACGAACATTTTTCATTATTAATGTTAATTTAAAATCTTTAATCTTTGATGATAAAATTTAGACAGAAAAGAGTAGTATTTTTAGGAACTCAATTACTTTTCCAATTTTAAAAACAATATTTTAAAAGTGTGATTGATTAAATACTTGTGCCGAAAACGAAAATGTAGAATTATAAGTGATTTAAGACCATTCAAAGCACTAAATTTTTTCTCATAATCATAATACTTAATATTTTGAAATGCAAAATATAGCTGCCTTTTTTATTTATAATATAATTTGCATTTTTATAAACAAGCAGAAAATTATCTTTGATATAAATTCTCATTTCAGTAGTTCATCTCAATCTTATTTAAAAACATCATTTTCTTTTTTTAAATTATCTCCATTCAAACTCCATTATTTAAGAAGACTATGGGAATTTTAAAGCATCTATGAATCAAATTTCTTAAATTTTATGGAAATTATTCATTTAATACTTGTATTTTGTGCTTCTTGTTTTTTTATGTGTAAATACAATTTATTTTAAAATAAATTTATATTAATATATAATAGCAAACTATCTTAAAATATTTGAAGATATACATATTGGAAAAAGACTTACATTAAACAAAATAGTTTTAAATCATGATCATTTTTCTTAGAGCCAATCAAATTTTTAAGAGATTCAAGATTTTATTAAAATATTTAGTAATATTCCATCAACAAAAATACCTATTAAACTACGATTGAAAACAACATTAGAATAATCATTAACCATCAAATTAGGAATTTTGAAATTACTCTTAGAATATCGTCAAATGCTATTAAATTCTTAGAGACACTGTAAAAAAATACAAAATTCAGGAAAATCAATGCACTTTATGAATTAAAAGGATTTTAATAAAATATACAAGCTAAATTCATAAAGCATACCCTTATCATCTAATGTAGGTTATTAATTGTATAATTAATTGGAACACTTTGTAAAAATATATAATTTATGACTCTTTTATTGATTGGCATTTAATTTATTTTATTATAATACAACAATGACAAAAGATATTAAATAGAGAAGTATCTAGCAATCAAAATTAAATAAATAAAGATTTAAATATTTTTGATATAAGATGAAATAACATTCATTTCTTGGATTTTTTGGAGCTTAAAATAAAATGTGATGTATTAAAACAGATGAAATCTGTAATTTATAAAATATCATCCGATTTAAATTGTTAGAAGAATAGTTTAACATTAAGGGGATATTACATATTGAGAAAATAGAAATTATTAATCCATGTTAGAATTTCTAGGAAAGTCCTAAAAAAAATGAATACCTCCTAAGGATGATTGAATTTGGATCAATTAATTGGAGTATAAGTTAGATTTAACTGGATGTTGCAATAGTGCTGTATGCTTATTATTTTAGTTCTTAACTGAAATTAATCTATTTTCTTGGAATAATGGTAATTCTTTGTTTTTTAATAGTCTTGATCTATCAATATCTAATGGGATTATTGAGTGGATAAGGTTGATTTCTCTAATGGTTTTAAGAAATTCAAATAAAATTTCACATCCGAAAATTGTCTCTCAAAATGGGTTAACGTGTAATTAAATTCATTCTTCAAATGCAAAAATAAATAATCACATTAAGCACAATTAGATTTACAGGTGTAATAATAGTTTATTAGATAATGTTATAAATTTGAATCCACAATCAATTTAACAATTATACTATTTTTTGATCATTTGTACTAATCGCAAATTAAACTTAATTATCCATTATCAGGAAAAGATGGATCTAAAATGATTCTAAAGATGATCTTCTAATTACCCAATCAGCAACAGGTAAACTATATAATAAAAAGATTCCTCTCAAAAAGGGTAATTTCCAACTAATTTGATAGCAAAATATCTTGAAACATTTGTGTAAAATTTAATAACTCCAAGAAAATGTAACAATGTTTTACACTTCTATATGTCTTGTGTTTAAAACAATATAGCTTCCTTCCTTATTACAATTAATATATTAGATAATTAGTTAAGATCCTAAATGTATCCATTAAGCAGTTTTGCAAACCTAAGGTTGATGACGATTATCTGGATTAAAAAATCTTCAAAAAATTGAATTAAAATCAGATAAAATTTTTATCCTTTTAAACCTATTTAATTCACAAATTTAAGATTTAGATGGATAATAAAATAAAATAAAAATAAAATTGAACAAAAAAAAAAATCTTCACAATCTTTGGTAAAGTGGCACGCAAACAGGATCTCCAGTCTGAGAGCGAAGTTCAGCCAAGTAGATAACCCATAACCTTCCTCAAAGTCATACAGAGTAGACAATAATGTACAGTTTAACCTGCCTTATACACTGGGCTTGGGTTTGGGGTTGGG